CTCTCGCGACGCCGTTGAGTGCGTTGACTCATCATGGGACGCTCGGCGTCCCAACAAGTGAAACTTCAGACTGATTCACAGCTCTGCTGGCTTCCACACAAGTGACACCATTTCAATGGGCCGCCGTAGAAGAAATCGTTAGTTAAACCGGGTAACAAAACCAAAAATATCCCCATATATTAGTAAGTGATTAGATAATGGTACTAAATAGTGAAAATTAGTTTTTGCTTTTGAATGGTAGCTACTGCCCTACAGTTATGGCTATTGTTTAAGTGTGTTCAATCGTACGTTTGGTTTCGTTGCTCAGCCGCGAGCGGCAGTCTGATCATGGCTGATTGCAAGGTGGAGTCTCAGGAGGTCCCTGGGTCCGGCGATAGGATCCTTGGGGAGGACGTGACCTTTCTTCCTAAAAAAGAAAGTTTGAAGAATGGCTCAACCCTCGTAGCTTCTGATGAGTGTCGTCTACTTTCAAAGGAGGATTTAATAAGGTTGGATAGGGAGCAGCCTGTCTGGCGTCGTATACGCATAGCATTAATTGCTCTCTTCTGGATCATCTGGATCCTTCTGCTTGCCGCCTCTGTTTTGATTATCGTTTTTTCACCAAAATGTCCACCGCGGCCTACATTACAGTTCTGGCAATCGAAAGTCGCCTACTGGTTGAACCCATTCACATTTAAGGATTCTGACGGTGACCTGATCGGTGATCTTAACGGTAATTTCTACCCTTGGCACACTAATAGTACAAATACGCATGCTCTTTATGCCCATTAATATTGTAAAATAGCTGCCTTGGTTTCATTCCGCTTTGAAATGTCGGCTTTCTTTTAGGCGTTTCCGAGGCAGCAGATTACATTGCCGATAAACTTGGGGCAGGGTTCGTGATTTTAACTCCCTTAATGCCATGGTATCCCAAGTATGCGCCGGCTTCTTTCCAGCCGAATTATTCGTCGATTCACCCCGCTCTTGGAACCATGAAGGACTTTGGATCATTGCTCCGCACCCTTAAAAAAAGAGGCATAGAGACAGTCATTTCTCTGGATTTCAATGGGATTCCAACGAACCACGAGTGGGCTAGCCGAGCTGGCTTTCTAATTCCACGACCCGCTTCCATGAACGTAAGTTGATACTTTATAATTATTCCTGTAGCCCTCAAGAACAGAGTTCGGGTCTCTTGAAAATGTCGGCGGCCAAACATTCTATTCTACTTATGGAAAGGGCTCTGGCATGGTTGATCTAAATCTTGCTTCGACTGATGTCTTGGAGGCCGTAAAGGTATGGTGATATGTTTGCGTATATTTCCTAGGATGTGGTTAAATTTTGGCTTGGTAAAGGCGTTGACGGAATCTTGCTGTCAGATGCTG